AACTGCACTCAAAAACAAAACAATGTAAAGTTCGATCCTACAAGTCCTCTCAGTCCTACTTCTTGTTCAGCCAATTGCTAAGACAAACAAGTTTGTTTACATTTACAGGAGATAATGCTGCCCGCTTCTTATTTACAATGTCACCTGAAAGTGAGAACAGGCGTTCACATGGCACTTTTCTAGCTGGCATTGTAAGGTATTTACATCCCAGTTATGCTAAACATTCATATGCCCCTTCATGCTTTGGCCACCATTCCAGAGGCCATGCTTCCATGCTGCTGATGTTCGTTTAAAAAATGTGTTAATTAAATTTATGACTGAACTCCTTGGGGGAGAAGTGTGTATCTCCTGCTCTGTTTCCCGCATTCTGACATATATTTATGTTATAGCAGTTGCGGACGATGACCCAGCACATATTGTTCATTTTAAGAACACTTTCACTGCAGATTTGACAAAACGCAAATAAGGTACCAATGTGAGATATATAAAGATAGCTACAGAACTCAACCCAAGATTTAAGAATCTGAAGTGCCTTCCAAAATCTGAGAGAGACGAGGTGTGGAACATGCTTTCAGAAATCTTAAAAGAACAACACTCCAATGAGGAAATTACAGAACCCGAACCACCAAAAAAGAAAATCAACCTTCTGCAGGTGGCATCTGATTCATGATGATGAAAATGAACATGCCTCACTCTGCACTGCTTTGGATCATTATCGAGCAGAACCCATTATCAGTCTGGACACGTCCTTTGGAATGGTGACTGAATTATGAAGGGACATATGAATCTTTAGCATATCTGGCACGTAAATATCTTGCGATGCCGGCTACAATAGTGCCATGTGAATGCCTGTTCTCACTCTCAGGTGACACTGTAAACAAGAAGTGGGCAGCATTATCTTCTGCAAATGTAAACAAACTTGTCTGAGCGATTGGCTGGACAAGAAGTAAGACTGAGTGGACTTGTAGGTTCTAAGGTTTTACATTGTTTTATTTTTGAATGCAGTTATTTTTTTGTACATAATTCTACATTTGTAAGCTCAACTTTCATGATAAAGAGATTGCACTACAGTACTTGTATTAGGTGAATTGAAAAATACTATTTATTTTGCTTTTTACAGTCCAAATATTTGTAATAAAAAATAAATATAAAGTGAGCACTGTACACTTTGTATTCTGTGTTGTAATTTAAATCAATATATTTGAAAATGTAGAAAACATCCAAAAATATTTATAATAAATGGTATTCTATTATTATTTAACAGCATGATTAATTGTGTGATTAATCACAATTAATTATTTTAATCGCTTGACAGTCCTAGTAGAAATCAATGGGACTACTCACCGAGTGGCCTAATTCTGTCACCCTTATTCACTCTTGGGTAGTACCTTCCTGTGCAAGTAGTCCACTTGGGTGAAAGGACTTGGTCAGTATCAGGGAAATAGAATCGTACTGTGTGAGTAAGGAGCTGCCAGATTAGGCTTTTATTAGACAGCTTTCTTATTCACTGGTCACTCATCGTTTCAACACGCTTCCTTTTGGTTATCTCAACACTCCTTCTCTCACACCGATTTCAAAGTGGTATAACTCCATTGACTTCTGCTGAATTACCTGATTTACACTTGTGTGAAAGAGAGAAAAATCTGGCTCACAGGAATGCAAACCTGTTTCATTGACTGATGGAGCTGGACTCAAAGCTATAGCAGAAATGACATGCATTGAACATCTCAGGATAGAGACCACTCCAGTCTCCAGTGATATTGCTTTCATTGTCCTCAGTTATCCATAGTTGAATCTGAATTCACATGGAACCTTAAATTATTTATAAAGCTTTTAAGATTTTGGTTATGACATTGATATAATGTGCAACATCACTCTGGTGACAGCATATGGTGTTGTGCAGATAGAGGATCATTGTTACAATAACATTTAGGATATTGGGGCTGTTCAGTTTCTGAATGTTTTGAAAGACTGGGGTTTTTTATTTGGTTTTTTTTTTAGCTCTACAATACTGTCTCCTTAGTTTTACAACAGGTTCCATCTTCAATCCATTTTTATTAATTTGACTGCTCATAAATCCTAATATTGTTATGCTGGGCTCAGTTATCCATAGTGTAACTGCACGAGAGTCAGCAGAGAGATTCCAGAGACCAAACTGGCTCATTATCTGGAACTTTAAACTAAGGCACTGAGCTTGGTTCACGATTAATAAACAAAATACGGTATGTTGATATAGACATTTGCATCAGGCTTTCTACTTTATTTGAATCCAGGTGGTGAAATCATGGACCAAATTCATCTCTGTGTTAGCTCCACTGAAGCCAGCGGTGTTGCTTTATAGATGAAGTTTTTATTCACTAGTGTCTGGTCTATGAAATTTTACTGTGGCTGAACGTGGAAGTCATCAAGCATGTTAAAGAACATGATGCCGAAAAAAAGGGTTGCTTAGTGAAGAACAGGACAAATTCTGTACAGCATCATGTCAGCTAACTATTTAAACCCTCATTGTGATTAAACCCCTAGTCTAGCAGGAAGAGGGGACAAGTGGCCTCTTACAGGACTTTAATCACACTTGGCAGGTGTGATCTAAACATGGTTTATCTTGCTTTGTGCTGAGCACTATCCTGCGGAGCATCGTGCATTGGGAGAAAGGAGAGATGCAGCAGAAGCAGCACTGCACTACATAGCAACCTGACATCTGATCAGGAATGGATACTAATGACAAACAGACACGGGCTAAAACCACAGCATAACGTTTGAAGATACCCGGGGGAGTCTCTTTATACACTTTGACCAAGCTTGTATAACATGTGCCAATAAAGTCTCATTAAATGGTGTCAGTGAACACAATTGTTGTTAACTGTATTCAGACACAGTAAAATCTTGCAGGGTAGCCTAGACTCTGCTGAATGACCACATCACTTCAAGCATCACTGAAGTGTTTGGAAGGCCAAATTCTGTTATAACCATTCTTTGCTTAGTGGTGGAGATTCACAGCACAATACAGTATTTCTATCAGTCTAGAACTACTCTGTTGTCTTTGAGCTGTATCTGTTCACTTTTCTCACTAATCTCTGTTCCCCCATTATCACTTTTTCTTGTTTAATGAAATTGGAGCAAGGATAAATATGGAACCCCAGAAAATGTCATTTTTATGGCATTTTTTCTAAATGTATTTACACTTTAAAACACATAATAAAATAAAGATCACATTTATTCCCCTGTGCCTGAAATCAACAATACATGATTAATACAAATTTGCCTAATGAAAATGCACCAAAGCAATTGTGCTCAATAATGAATAATCCATGGTAGTTGATTAGAGCTGGGTGAGGACTGAAACAACAAATTCTACGAATATACTTTTGAATTTTTAAACAAATCCTCTTCTGTTATGTTCACTCCCATTTATTTGTTATGAATTATTCACCTAGCTCTTGGGCTGATGAAGGGTAATTGGTATTGCAGGTATTGAGTGAGACTTCGCCATTCCTTCTGAATTGCGTTATAATGGTTATTTATTTACTTGTATTACAGAAGCACCCAGAGGCTCTGATCTGGACTCCATGGTGCTAGGCACTATACAACAGAGTAAAAGTCCCTTTCCTGAAGAGGTTACTATCTAAAACAGGATTGTCAAAGAGTGGTGGATATGGGATGTGATATATACGCAGTATAATCAGGGATGGGTGACAAATTTAATATTAGTTCCATAGGGTTGATGTATATAAAAATAAACCCTCCCCACCCACATAAATAAGGGGGTGAGAGGAGCAGGGAAGTGGAGGGGATGAATTCATTGGAGCACAGAAATAGGAAAAGAAGTAATGACTGAGGGAGAGGGAAGGAAGATGAAATGGTGAGAGAACTGGCAAAGAGAAAAAATAGCCAGAGTCAAAACTGAAGAAAGTAGTCTGACACCAGTGCTCCTGCGAGCTTCATTCAATGCTAGTCCATGGGGTTTGGGGGTATACAGGCCCACTTAAGTGGG